GCAAATAAGGTGCGTTATGGGAGATGTACAAGTGGCGAATACAAGAGCCAGGGAAATTGGCCCCGTCGATGATGCTCACGTCAGATACCGTATTTCCTCGAATAATAGCCGTCCCTCGCCAGTAATCGCCTCCCTCGAATAGTCGCCTCCCTTTGATGGAAATACTTAAAATTATCGCCTCCCTCGAATAATCACCCCTCCCCCGCCCCTTTCGCCATCTTCTCTTCCTTTTATCCCTTCTGTGTCAAGTTGAAGAGGAATGAAATTCAGCAAAACTGATCAGTGACGATTCAAGCTCTGAAAATTAATCAAGAAACTAAATTTGGAACACTTAAAAAGCCCATGCTCAGTTTATTTTTGACGTGATTATTTTTTGATTTAATGGGAATATAAAACAAAATATTTAGGGCGCAGTGAGCAACTTGAAATAATCGCCTCCCCTCGAACAGTCGCCCCCTTTTCGTAGGGAGAAGGAAATAATCGCCCCCGGCTATTATTCGAGAAATACGGTAGGTCCAGCGCCGAATTTCTGCAGTCCTAAAAGTTTTAGCCTATGCCGATTTTTTCGCCTTTTTCCTTCAATGCGGGGCCTGGTCCCAGGCTACACAAACTATTAAAAAGACGCAAAATGTAGACCAGTCCCTCCCCTCCCCCAACAAAAAAAATAACTTAAGACAATAATGAAAAAATAAAAACAAGGAGAAGAAAATGTAGCGGGCTTTCGCCAGAGCTTAAGAAACCACAACGGCAGAAGAGCAATAGATTTAGGTCCCGTTGCAACTCTAGCGCGACTTCTCACGCGCAGGAGCCCATATGGGCTCCTGTCACGCGATATCTCCCAGAATATACAACTTGGTTCATTTCGGCATTAAACTGAAGAAAAATATAGTCCATGTGGCGCGCTGAAATAACTTCATGACAACAAGTCATAAACCAGTAGAAACGTAGGAAATGGGGTCATGTAGCTGAAATAATGAGCCGTTTACACTTTTGGCGGCGAAATGGTAAAAAGCATATAATGTTACAACACTGAGCGTTGGAGTTCGAACATGGGGAAGACTGAGTACGGGGAGGGAAACTATCATTAATATTGGTTATGATTTTCATGACATTTGGTGGCTCCTAAAAGAGCCGTTTTGTTTTGGCGGTAAACCCACAAAGTGAGTTTACTTGCTGCTGGTGTATTTGGTCACAGCCTTGGTTCCTTCACTGACAGCATGTTTGGCCAGTTCACCGGGCAGAAGCAGCCTGATGGCGGTCTGGATCTCGCGAGAACTGATGGTTGATTTCTTGTTGTAGTGGGCAAGGCGGGAAGCTTCTAACGAGTTCATGATACCCATGGCTTTGCTGGAGATACCAGTGTCAGGGTGAACTTGCTTCAACACCTTGTAGATGTAGATGGCATAGCTTTCCTTTCTCTTTCCCCTCCTCTTCTTCTTTCCATCAGATGGGGCCTTTGCCTTTCCAGCTCTCTTCTCGCCTTTCTTTCCTGCAACTTTGGGTGCCATGTCTGTCGATCAGAATGGAAGTGAATGCAATGAGTTGACCCAGATTCTATTTATATGAAAACGATTAGGGGATCAATTAACATATGGATCGAAATCCTTAAGTTTTAATTGGTTACTCTATTTCAAGGTCAATATACTTCTTGTATACATCATCATATTTCATTAAACACTTAAAATTGTTAAGTCTGATTGGTGCGTTTCGATCCCATTCAAATTTTGCCGCGGCGTTTTAACTCTCAGGTTTTTAAGATCAGTTCATTAACTCGTGTATTCTCGACTTAAACGTTTGTTTTGAAAACATGTCTGGTCGCGGTAAAGGAAAGGCAAAGGGCACCAAGTCCAAAAGCCGATCATCCCGAGCAGGACTTCAGTTCCCTGTGGGACGTATCCACCGTCTTCTTCGCAAAGGCAACTATGCTGAGCGTGTTGGCGCTGGTGCCCCGGTCTACTTGGCTGCAGTACTTGAGTATTTGAGCGCTGAGATCCTCGAGTTGGCGGGCAATGCTGCTCGTGACAACAAGAAGACCAGAATCATTCCCCGTCACCTTCAGCTTGCTGTCCGCAACGACGAAGAGTTGAACAAACTGCTTGCCGGTGTCACCATCGCTCAAGGAGGTGTTCTGCCCAACATCCAGGCTGTTCTTCTGCCCAAGAAGACCGAGAAGAAACCAAAAGCCTAAACAGTCCTACGCGGCGTTCAAACAAACGGCTCTTTTAGGAGCCACCACATATAATAAAAGTCATGATCATAAAGAGAACAATATATCAACCAATTAGTACATCTATTCTTTTTCGAATAAGTCAGTGAAGCCAGAAAGTAACCCCCTGTTTAGCCTTCATGATAATCCTCACTGATAACTTACGGTTTAAACTCCATTTGAAAAGAGAAAGCAGTTTCGGGTACTTCATACAGAAAGAAAATGAACTGCGTACGAAACGACCACATTTTGGAGAGGGGAAGAATTGGGCAAACTGTGAGTAAATCAGTGAAATATGTAAAATAATATGGGTTTTCCGAAATGTCTCATAGATCACCGCGTTTCATCAAATGCAAATCTGTTCAGAACGCCGGCGCGCAACTCGTTTCTCTTGTTCTCAACGAACGTCCTTTATACAGTTGATTGCTTTTGGGCAAAAACGCATATTTGCTGGAACCTGTACAACGAAATTATACAAAAATATTTAACGATCAGTTGTTGTTAGAAATTTCCTTACATTTCTACATAACGATAATTGATACTACTGACTCTCTGTTCTTCAAAGCGAAAACTCACGCGGGGTGTACACTGAATACGTGAGAAATATCACTTTATTGGCTATGACTTTTAAAGATTTGGTGGCTCCTAAAAGAGCCGTTTGTTTGAGTGGGTAACGCGAAGATCTAACCGCCAAATCCGTACAGAGTACGTCCTTGACGTTTGAGAGCGTACACCACATCCATGGCTGTCACAGTCTTGCGTTTAGCGTGCTCGGTGTAGGTAACAGCATCACGGATCACATTCTCCAGAAAAACTTTGAGAACACCACGCGTCTCTTCGTAGATGAGGCCAGAGATTCGCTTGACACCGCCACGGCGAGCAAGACGACGGATAGCAGGCTTGGTGATACCTTGGATGTTGTCACGGAGAATCTTTCGGTGACGCTTGGCGCCTCCTTTTCCTAGACCTTTACCTCCTTTACCGCGACCAGACATGTTGATAATCTTTCTTGAAATAGAATAATGACTCAAAATTTGAGAATTCTTGTTTTTATACCACAAACAATGACCTCACGGGAAACAGGCTAAAAGAAGTGTAATTAGTTGCTCGCCATTGGTGGATAGAAACAAAAGAGCCATGAGGTCAAGATAATCATTACCATCATATTGCCTCACCAGACAAGACCGAACATGTTAGAGGAGCAAAATTGACATTATCGCTAAGAAACGTGCAACTTAACTTCTCAACGGATTTTATGCTGATATTTTCTAACAACTAAGAACAAAAGCTAACAAATATTTGTTTCCCACGAATGAAAAAACCTTAAGTGGCATGCCGGATCGAAGTGCAAGCCCAGATGAATTACATTTTTAGAAGCAGTATCGGTTATCCAATGAAATCGCATATTTTGTAACCAATCAGGAAATAGCGCGCTAAGAATAAAATATCGGTTAGGGATTAATGTCGAAAAATTATTCATTGACTTTTGAGTTAGCAGAAATGGCACGTACAAAGCAAACTGCCCGTAAATCAACTGGTGGAAAAGCTCCACGAAAACAGCTCGCCACAAAGGCAGCTCGAAAGAGCGCGCCTGCTACTGGAGGAGTCAAGAAACCTCATCGTTACAGGCCTGGTACAGTCGCTCTTCGTGAAATCCGTCGTTACCAGAAATCCACCGAGCTGCTAATCCGCAAGCTGCCCTTCCAGCGTCTTGTGCGTGAAATCGCTCAAGACTTCAAGACCGATCTGCGTTTCCAGAGCTCTGCTGTGATGGCTCTTCAAGAAGCAAGCGAGGCTTACCTCGTTGGTCTGTTTGAAGATACCAACTTGTGCGCCATCCACGCCAAGCGTGTCACCATCATGCCCAAGGACATACAGTTGGCCCGCCGAATCCGAGGAGAGCGTGCATAAGTGCACTGCTTCCATTACAAACCAAACGGCTCCTTTTGGAGCCACCACATCACTAGAAGCAATAACCAACAACAGTATATTTTGTGTCCTTCCATATTTCAACGCTAACCTTAAGGCACAAAAGCTATCTCGCGAATCGAGCATTGCTTCCATTATAAAACAAACGGCTCTTTTAGGAACCACTGGTCACATCACTTCTGAAAAGCAATAACCAACAGCAGTATATTTTGTGTCCTTCCATACTTCAACGCGAGCCTTAAGGTACAAAAGCTCGCGAATCGAAAATCCTCGGTTCCTTTACTTATGACAAGCCAGATCAGTTTAACTGCAGAATACCCTGCCATGACTTCGAAGCTGTATCCCTGAAAGAGCTGGATACGCAGTTATCCCTTTTATGCGCTTTTCTACCTTCAGTGGCTTTAAGAACGACAAATAGTCATACTGTATGCATTTTATCCTGTCTTACTTTATTTATTATTTGTTTTATCAAAGCGGATACGTAGTGACTGAGTATCCGCGTATCCACCTATTTTTAGGGGATGCTTTAAAATGGCAGGGTATTCTGGAGTTAAGCCTTGCTTTCAATCGCTGCCCTTTTCCGTGAAAAATAAAAGCACCCTATTAGTTAAAAGTTTAAAGAAACTTTTAAGAGGATACTACCAGAAAAAATTCTTACTGAGATTGACGAAAAAGAATTAAAAGCCTGCATATGAGCTCATTCTTTGCATCCTGCGTGGCAGGCGCTTGGATATAGTGGGCGCAAGAAAGAACCGGCGCGCGAGAGGAGAGGGTCTGAGGGAGCTTGTTGTGAGTGTTGTTGTTTTTCGAATTCCCTTACATCATGTACTTGGGGCGACTGGTATATGAAAGGGTAGGGATTTTACTATTTGAAGTATATGAAAAGCCAGGGAGATTTTGGTCTGTAAACACTGTAAAAGGACTTAACAGGGTTGAATCAGGATTTTATAGCTGTGAACGGGTGAAAAAATGCAAGAGATAGTAATTCCGAGACCCTAAATTTATCAAATTTCCACGGGGAACTGGCCCCTAAACCTCCAGTTTGGAGGGCCTCAGTCGGTGTTCTAGTTTTTCTTCTTGTGCGTACACCTTCAAAATCTAACGCTGCTTCCCTACTAAAGGGTAAAGGGTTGGACCTCGGTGCGGAGCCTTCCGGTATAAAACTTTGTTAAGTACCCCTCTAGGATTTTGAAGGTAGTTTGATATCATGATATGAAAACAGGCAGCCAAAGGAGAACCTAAAAACGAAACTATTCCTCAGTTTTTGGAAGTTCAACTTGATTTATTGGACTACTTTTTCACAAATTAGAGAATGAAAATGTCAATGTCACTATTTAAAAAGAAAAAATTGGGGAATCCCTGCGATTTCTCCGGAGAGACTACACTAAAACGTCACATATCGAAGATGGAGTGCTGGATATAAAATCGTCACCCAGCCTTCTGGACCACAAGGGGTGCCTCGCCGTCCAAAACCCTGCTCAGATTCACACGCAAGGCGCGCGAGAGTACGAAGAGGACAGGGACGAGTACGCAAGAGGACAAGGACGATTAACGGTTCATGCTGTGAAAGCTATCTTAGATTGTGATTGGTGCACAGTCAGACACGTTTTGAGGGCTATGGTGTTTCCTGAATGGAAGTTAACGGGTTAAGGGACTCAGAAAAAAGTGCTCCTTTCCCATGTTGACAGGAATGGAGGTGTCCTGAAAGGGCATGATAGCTAAGCATTCTGGGATATACAATAATACTGTGCCAACCTAACAACAGTTCACAACAATGCCATTTTTCAAAAGAAGCAACAAACCTCCTAAACGAAGACTTGATGCAGGCAATACAACTTTAAGTAAATCAAATTTAAGCTTAGCTGGTACTGGAGAGTTGGCAGAAAGCCAGCTATTACGAGACCACTTTGATTTTGACCCGTCCGTGCTCAACGATAAAGTTCTACCGCTCACCTAACGTCCACTCTGGTTCTCGAATATTGGAAAATTTGTCAAACATAGTTTCCATTAACTCATATTTGTATTTTTAATGGGAGAAAGCTTTTAAGAAACTTTCAAGTACAATTTCCTTGAATTATTTAAGTGGTTATAATCACAACTGATTAGAAAGGACGTGGAGTTAAATGGATGAAGCAACGTGAGGTTTTTCAAATATTGTGCATTGTCAACAATAGTGTTATAGCTTGAACATGCTTCTTATGTAGTTAAACATTAATGCACTCATCGGCCATCAAGGGGGCATTTCCACAATGATGTTTTCAAATCCTGCCACCCTAAGAAATGTACTTCTCCACATGACACAGGGGGCAGAAGGATTATTTGTGACATTGATTGCAGTTAAATGCTACAGTTGATAGTGCTTATCACCTTTGTTTACTGTAGAAGCTAATGTGCACTTGACCAATCAAACCATCATGCGATCCTCTTGCAACACGGGTTAAATATTATACAATTCTCTGGAAAACTGCCAAATGTAAATGACTGCAGACTAATAACAGCAAATAAGATATAATAAGGACACAAGATATGAAGGTAATTTAGGCTAATTTTCAATCTGCCACAAACCTGGTGCAGCTAATCAAATCAAACCGAACCAAAAATCAAACAAATCTGATTGGTTCAAGGTAAAGTGTTCGATTTGTAGGAACATTTGATTGTGTTTGGAGTTTGATTATGCTCAATCACGGAAGCCAGTGAAAGTCAAAAGTGTAGCCAGCCCATAGATCTGTAGGCCCGGGCCTACAAATTTTTGGTTTGACTACTCTACTGCTTGTTATAAATTATGCATTGTTGGGATGAGCTAAAAAGCTTAAGACCTTAAAGTGTTAGTAAGGTCAGTGTGTACTAGTCATGCGTGCATTTTTCAGGATATGTGTAAATGAAAATCCGCCAGGCCCACAACAAGTTGAAAAGCTGCCTATGCCCCTGAAGGTCAATCTAACGACTGGCGTGCGATTGGGTTTAATTACTGAACATTTGATTGACTATGGCGGGTATAAATCATCAGTAAAATGGTGCTTCTCTTCCCCTAGGATCCTACATTTAAGTGCAATAAGCGAATCAGTCGAATGTTCTGAACCAAAAATTTGCAGCAAGTGTCAACAAATCCTGTGCCATTCCCACATATTTTCCTGTGGTTGAGGTCCCAGGATGGCCGCTGATGCATAGTGTAGACCAGTAGAGAGATGTCTGTTATCTGCTTTATGGTTAGACCACACCAAGTATATGGTGTAGTTAATTTTTAATCTCAGGTAATTTTTATTTTTCTTTTGTTTCAACTTCATTAGCATACATTACCATACCCAAAACCAAACGAAAAACAAAAATTACCTGGGATAAAAAATTAACTACAACATATATATTTACAGTACAAGGACTTCTTTCAGTCCTCTTTCCTCTCAGTTATGATCCATCAAGTATTAGAGACCTTCAAGCTTCTAAAATAAGGCCGACTCGGAGAATAAGATTTTCTCAATACTACATAATGCACATGTGTGAACCAGCGTCATTTTGGTGGGAAAACATGTGAGCCATTATTATTTCACTAAGGGTCTTGGGAAAATGTTGTAGTTACAGAAACAAGTTATCAAATGCTAAAAGTCTTGTCATTTTGCGAGCAGGAGAGGGCTTAACCTCCTTCAAGAAAGATAACCATGTTAAACTGTTCGGGTGAAAAATAGGAAAATGATGCTTCCAGGGAGTGTCTATTATTTTAGAATACAGTACACCTTGATTCAAAGGTCTCTTATATCACAGTGCTAGGGCATTTGATTAAGCTGCTGGTGGCTCCAAGGTTATTTTATTCGTACATTTTCAAGAAAGAAACAAAACTGAAAGAAGTTCTACTCATGCTCCAAGTTTAATTAACAAATTGAGAACATTGTTTTTACAATACAGGTTGTTCTTCTTTTTTGCAGAAGTAGGGTCTCAAAATAATTCTAACAATGGTGCTGAATATACACGATTGCAAAAACAAAACCAGCAGCTCAGAGAGGAAAACAACTTTCTGAAATACAAAATTGAAGTTTTGTTAGACATGGTGAGTCAAAGTTCCATTATTATTATACGATCAAACCTTCATGTATGGCAACCTCCTATAAGCATCGACCACCTACCACAAGGGACCTCTTATTTCAAATACGCGGTAACTACTGTTGTAACCTCTCGCAAATGACCGCCTCTTGTAAGCAACAGCGGCCACCTTTAGTGATAGACAGTTTTAGAATTTCCGTTCTTTTGCAAGCTGCAACAAGTAGAAAGTGAATTAAAAATTTGTGGGAATAATGCTGAATGTTTGACTTCATAAGCTTTTAGCTAAAAATATGGTGTATAAAAAACTTATTTAAGTCTTACTCGCATGACATCAGAAAATGCTCAGCTACGTGTTCTGGGACGAACATAATTCATTTCATTTAGTGCCGTGAGATGGGCGATTGAACATGAATAATTTACAATGCATAACTCTTGCTGTTTGTTGTTGTTGTTGTTGTTGTTGTTGTTGTTGTTGTTTGGGCTAAATTATTTCACTGGAAACATGATTAACTATCCTCTGCTGTCTCCAATACTTTTTACATAATGGCAAGACCTGTTATTTGTCAATGTGAGCCTTAACTGAATTTTTTCTCCCTCTTTTATAGATGGCTGCTAGCACTGCAGACTGTAATGTCATGGAAAAAGAACTTGACACCTTGCAAAGTCAGAAACAGGGTCACAGAGTGGCAAGATAAAACCTGTTACTCTGATTCAGACATGTTAAAGTTTCAAATTATTTAAAAACAACTAATAATAATTATTTACTATTTAATAGCCCACTAGGAACAAATAGACCAAAAGTTACAATCATTATTAATTCCCAATAAGGATATTAGTTGTAGTTGTTTTATGACTAACAATGTAAAAAAATGCATTTTGTATGAATTTCAAAATTATTGTAGTTTAATTACCGTAAAATTCCGAAAATAAGCCCCTCCATGTATAAGCCCCCCAAACCAGTAATGCAAAACACCCTTCATTAAATCGCCCCTCCAAAAATAAACCCCCCAGGGGCTTGTACTTGGAAAATTGCCTTCAAATACAAAGTAAAACAAAGCAAAAATGGTAAATTTACTTCCAACTATCATAGTATAATGCTAGCCCAATCGATTTTGAAACGCAAATTTTCCCCCGTAGATAAGCCCCTCTGAATATAAGCCCCTCTAAAATAAGCCCCTCAAAAAGGGCCTTTGAAAAATATAAGCCCTGGGGCTTATCTTGGGAATTTTACAGTACTTTATATGAGTGTACAAAGTCAACATGTAAATAATCAAAGAACCTTTTCAACAACTATTGTAAATTTTCTTGTGCAACAAAAAATTATAACAACAAGGGCCAGGTTGTTCAAAGCAGGGTTAAGATAACCCAGGGTTAGTGCAAAATTTGAATTCAGATATCAAAGCTTAAAAGCAAAATCAGTTTTATTCTTGGTGTCTATAGTTTAATGATTGGATGGCCTAAAAAGAATAGAGAAAACAATTCGGGAAATTGCTTTTGAACAAATAAAAAAAGAAACCCGGGTTAAAATTTAACCCTGGGTTAGCGCTAATCAGCCTTCAAACAAATGGGCCAAGTAGTTTAGGANATGCAAAACACCCTTCATTAAATCGCCCCTCCAAAAATAAACCCCCCAGGGGCTTGTACTTGGAAAATTGCCTTCAAATAGAAAGTAAAACAAAGCAAAAATGGTAAATTTACTTCCAACTATCATAGTATAATGCTAGCCCAATCGATTTTGAAACGCAAATTTTCCCCCGTAGATAAGCCCCTCTGAATATAAGCCCCTCTAAAATAAGCCCCTCAAAAAGGGCCTTTGAAAAATATAAGCCCTGGGGCTTATCTTGGGAATTTTACAGTACTTTATATGAGTGTACAAAGTCAACATGTATATAATCAAAGAACCTTTTCAACAACTATTGTAAATTTTCTTGTGCAACAAAAAATTATAACAACAAGGGCCAGGTTGTTCAAAGCAGGGTTAAGATAACCCAGGGTTAGTGCAAAATTTGAATTCAGATATCAAAGCTTAAAAGCAAAATCAGTTTTATTCTTGGTGTCTATAGTTTAATGATTGGATGGCCTAAAAAGAATAGAGAAAACAATTCGGGAAATTGCTTTTGAACAAATAAAAAAAGAAACCCGGGTTAAAATTTAACCCTGGGTTAGCGCTAATCAGCCTTCAAACAAATGGGCCAAGTAGTTTAGGACTGAACAAGCATCGGTTGCATTTTGAGTTCATTAAAATGTGGACATGTATTCAAAGTGTTAAGTTCCCTGTTAGCTACCAGGCATCCACCCTTTAAACAACTGAGGCCAGTTGTTCACACTGTTGTTCTTTATCCAGTGTGCATGGCTATTCAGTGGTCATCATCTCCTCTTAGCTTCTTACAGAGTGCATTTTTTCTCAGGAAGTGTATCTAGGAGATGGTTGTTACTACAGTTTGCAGAAAATGTGAATAATACTCCTGCATGCTTGTGTGGTTAATGCTTAGGAGATAGCTGGTTACCGGAACATGACAAGTGTCGCAGACAGAAACAATGGTAATACACACAGGCTATTCTTTATGAAGTGGATATTAGAATTATAGAATGGCCTATACCCTGAGATCCCACTCGAAAGAGGTACCTTTTCAGTGGCAAATCTAGACCTTCAGATAAGGGGGAGGGGGGAGAGGCCTGGTCATCCAGACCCTGAGATAAGGGGAGGTGGGGGGGTGGCCGGTCTCAAAAAAATTTTATTTCGGTCCTTTGGGCCTCAGTTTCGTCTAAAAATAAGGGAGGCCCCTCCCCTGGATCCACTACTGCTTTTTTCAGGCTTCTGGTACAGAAAGGGTAAGGATTTCACAAGGTTAACTAAGTGTATAAAGATACATATAAAATGGTAAGGAAATTTCTCATTGCTGTCTGTGAACGGCTAACAGATGCATCTTATGACTGTGAAAAAGACAGGAAAACTTCCTGATTTAGTGTTTTCATTCATTTAATAGTCAAGAAAGGTTCAGTGTTGTTAACTTGGTGTGTGAAAGGGGTTTCATTTGTTAAAAGATACACGAAAGAGATACCTTTTCTGTGAAGAATATATAAAAAGGGTTCGGGGTGGAGTCTCCCCATACAAAAACTTTGTTGAGTGCCCCCACCCCCTGGGTGCCCGATTTGTCACAAGGAATCGAATCACTGGCAATCTCTGCAACGTAGGACACAAGTAATAAAGCTGGGGCTAATTCACAAAGCTATAGTCAACACTTGCCAACTCATTCATTCCTTGTCATAGTTTATTTCTAAATCAGCTATTACAGATCACACAGGACTGACAAATATTTAAAAAACCACACACACATCATTTAATCCTGCTTCTTTTCAAAGGTCTGTAAGGCAAACAGTCCTGAAAAAGGAAAAATAGTATAAATAAAAACCGAAGGCTTCGAAATGCTAAAACAGCCACATCTTACATTTACACCGTCTCTGTTTCCCAAGTGCAAAATTAATGGTGGCTGGGAATAATATAGGTAGATGTGTAATTTTAAACAGAAAGTGAAAAAGACTGTGCCAAATGACCGTATTCCTGAATATAGAGACTATTGGGAACGAGTTTGGTCTACTTGCCAGTAATTCCCATTAACAGCCCCGTTCAATAGATCATCTGTTTTTCCATTTATTTTGATGACTTTGAATTTGGTTTAGTCAGTTGAAAGATTCCTTGAGAGGAACATGCTAGTCTGCTGTCAGTCTGCTAAGAGGGTCTTTTCTCGCGCAGGCAGTTAAATTATTAGCCGCTTTACTACCTAGAGAAACTATCCATCTCGCATCCTAAAGAGTTTCCTTTTTTTTTTTTTTTTCAAAAAAACCTGTCATCGTTTACCTGGGAAGGGGGCTGGGGTACAAGGTTTTAGCCAGAAGGGTGTCCAGCCGTCCTATGGACGCCCATTTTTGGAAGAAACACAAGGAAAATTCACCTAATCTCTTATGCGTTTTGGAAAAACATGCCTTCTGGACGGCCAGTTTTCAATGTCTGGCTAAAAGCCTGGTGGGGTACTTGGGTCGACTGGCCTCACAGTATCCCCACTCCATTATAGCCTATTCTGTGGCCAATTATAGACCTCATATTAGTCCCTTTAGGTTACCAAAGGCTTGTTCGATTGACCGTATTTCGGAACAAGAATATTATAGGAATAAGGTCAAGAAATCCCTCGTTTTGGCATTCATTGCACTGGCAATATCTAGAAATCTGCTTCATATAAAATATTTCAATATATGTAGAGTTTGAATCAAGGTATTTGAAGAAGAAATTTGTAACAAAACTTTCGTGCATTTAGATTCTTCTCTCTGTGTAAATACGACAGACCTTGGGTGCCCTGTGCGGTGTGCTCACGGGCTCTAGTTCTGACCTTGCTGGTCTAATAATGTAAGTTGCAATGTTACTGATCGCCTTTCACAGCTCTTAGAAAGGCCGCTTTGGGAGATTGAAACACTATTACAGGGTTCGCACAGGTCGTGGAAAAGCTGAAAAGTCATGGAATTTAAGCATTTCATTTTCCAGGCCTGGAATGTCATGAAATTTTATAGTCTGTCCTTGAAAGTCATAGCAAATTAAAGTTTTGTTTGATAGATTAGTTACTGCCGATGACAAGGCGAAGACAATGTAAGATATAGAGAGAAGTGATTGAACAGCGCGAACGGCACGTATTTTGAAGGACACCAGAGTTGGTGTCGTTGAACTGTTCAAAATTAAGGTCCAAAAATATCCGAAAACAAGGAAAGTCCTAAGAAGTTTTGAACGTGACACCTAAACCTAAGGTCTTGGAAAACTTAAAAAGGTCATGAAAAAAAGTCATAGAAAGTCACGGAATTTAAAGAGCTCAAAAGGACACGACCCTGTGTAAAAAAAGTGAAGTTAAATACATTTTGGTTTTTTTCCCCCTATAGTATCTCCAACGTTAATGCTGAAAAAACACCGTCAATTTTTTCGCCAAATTAGAAAAATCATAACGCATATTTACCTTTCACACTTTTCAGAACCTCCAGTTCATAAGTTTTCTTCAGTTTACGTACTGGTCACAGTCACAACCGAGAACACATTCATTGTCATCGCCATCGCAATTATCCAAGCAGTTTTGGTCGCATGGATCCCGAATCTCCAACTCGTGGGTTCTCTTCCTCATCTCACAGCCACAATTATGATTACATTCATTTTCATCGCCTTCACAATTATCCAAGCAGTTTTGGTCACATGGATCCCGAATCTCCAACTCGTGGGTTCTCTTCCTCATCTCACAGCCACAATTATGATTACATTCATTTTCATCGCCTTCACAATTATCCAAGCAGTTTTGGTCACATGGATCCCGAATCTCCAACTCCTTGTTTCTCTTCCTTTTGACACAGCCGCATTCTTGTTTGCATTCCTCGACATCGTGTGTGCAAGTTGATTTGCATTCTTGGTTGCAATCCGGATCCTGTATCTCCAGCTCGTCACTTTTACTTAGAGAAAAATCCTGCTTTAAAGGACGCCTCTCAATCATGTCTATAACGAAGAGATTGCAGAATAAATAAATAATTAAATGCAAACGGGACCATAGTAGTAATCAGAGTAATCAGTATGAAATTTATATATTCCGTCCGTTTCAGAGACACCGCAATTAAAACTATTCAACATGACAATAACTGAATTCAACACCAGTTTAGTAGGTTTATCAGG